TACAACTTTTTTATTATTCAGGAGATAATGTTGAGCAGATAGAAGTGATACAGAGATGAAAAAAAAGTTCAACTATGGTTTGATGGGATCAAACGATCATTAAACAGTGACAAATCATGTTTTATGATATTTAGTAATACATATTCAAATGATGGCAACAGATGAGATTATCTCTGTGTGATGAATCATATCTACAACTTAATGTAATTAAAACAAAAGATATGATAATCGATTTTAGAAGAAAGCCACAACAACAGCATGATCTTTCCATAATCAAAGGTCAAACTATTGAGCGAAATCATATAAATATCTGGGGACAATTATTGATAGGGAGCTGAATTTTGAGGAAAATTGTGATGCTGTGGGTAAGAAAGGCCAGCAGCATTTGTACTGCCTTAGAAAACTGGCCTCATTGCATGTGGATAGGACTATAATGTCCATGTTTTATTGTTCTTTTATTGAAAGTGTTTTATCCTTTTCCTTAGCCTCATGGTTTGGCCAGGCCAATCTTAAACAAAAGGAAACGCTGAACAGGATAGTAAAGTGGTCGGGTCGTCTGCTTGGAAAACAAGTGAAAAGTGTGGCACAACTGTACAGTGGGCAGGTAGACAGAATTGCCAAAGCTATTGTTAGGGACATGGGCCACCCACTGAATGCCCAGTTTACTCTCCTGCCATCAGGACGGAGATTTATTCTGCCCAAGTGCAGGACCAAGAGGTATAAAAGGAGCTTTATTCCTGAGGCAGTAACGATTCTCAATAAGAAATGAGTCTGGTGTGGCTATTTTATTTTTATTCATGTATTGTTTTTATACTTTTTATTGATGTGGTGTTTTCGTGACTGTGTGTAACCTGGGTGCTAATTCTCATGTCACATGGCAAATCAAATTTACCTGCAGGTATTAATAAAGTTACATTGACCTTGAGATTAATAAGAGCTAAAGAAGTCAAGTATCTGGGAGTCATCATTGATGATAAAATGTCTTGGAAATTGCATTTAAACAGTGTCAAAACTAAAATATCTAAAACAATTGCAATGTTACATAGAGCAAAAGGGTTGCTTGATAATAATTCACTATTTGTTATATAACTCACTGATCATACCGTACCTGAACTACTGCATTGAAATCTGGGGAACAACATATAAAACTTACACAAATTCCATTTACATCTTGCAGAAAAAAGCAATAAGAATAATCATAAGGAGCAACTACAGAGATCCGTCCAATCTATTATTTATAAAATTAATAACACTAAAATTCTATGATCTGGTGGACTACAATATTTTAAAATGTATGTTTAATGCAAACAAAAGGTATGTACCTGCAGGATTTATCAAAAGATTTTCAAAAAGACATAGCAAATATGATTTAAAGGGACATGAATTATTTAACATACCTAGACATCGGATACTCGTACAGGAAGATTGTGTGTCCATATATGGAGTTAAATTGTGGAATAAATTAAATACTGATATCAAGAATGCAAAAACAATATTGACTTTCAAAAAAAGAGATAAAAAATGAAATGATTAACTTGTATAGATCCGTTACATAAATGTGTGAGGGGAGGGGGGTTGGGGGGATGAAAAATAAGGGGGAAAGGAAACAAGTCTATGTATGCATATGTGTATATTTGTATGTATATAGGTCTATAACTTTATGCTTCTTTCTGTGTAACTTGTTTTCTCTATTCTTTTCAATTCATGGGTTGAGGTTGTGTCGGCCAACCAGTCCAGAAACTATATTGTTCAAATTTTTTAAGAATCATATGATCATTTCATTTGTATTAATGCTATTTTAGTTAAAAGGGGCAGACAACATAAGTTTTTCTTCTTTCTGTCCCCTTTTTCATTTTGGCTTGTAGCAATTTAGTTCTGTATTTTTATTTTAATGTCAATAAATGAAAGTAAAATAAAATAAATAAAAATAAATCTGTTAGTCTGAGGAGAAAGCGTTATTTTAGTGATAAAAGAGATCTACAGCCTGGATTTGTCTGAAGTTAGCCAAAGTCAACCATGGTGTTTAGAGACTTGTGTCTGAAACTTCAGGACTGAAACATCTGAGAACCGAGGCAGGACTTTCATTACTGATGTTGTTCAGGACGTCCACTCATCCTACTCAGGTCTTTTTTAAATGCTGATGGCTTTCCTTCCTGTCTGCTTTAAGAGCTGAACTGATCCAATAAAATCCACTTCAGGTGATGGCGGTGCACTTTGCCATGTGAGAGAGCGGAGACAGTCATTGGGAATTTCATTAGTGGGAAAAACTCCGTTATCTTTTTTCTGTCTTCATTTAATCCACACAGAGCAGAAACTCAAAGAATTACAAAAGAGAATACTTGGCTGAATAAAAATATTGAAATATTAGGATTTGCTTTTGGCAAAAACATAAAAATAAGATTTCATTGCATACATAAAAATTTGAGATTGCTGTTTTATTCTGATTATAATTGTCTAAATGATCAAATTCAATAAATTGTAAATTGCAAGGTCCTCAGATATTATTCATTAGTGCTGCGTCTATTTCACTCATTGATCAACTTCTCATTGATCATTTCAATAAATCATATTAAATATTGTTTCTGTTTTTTCTGTTTCATTCCCTAAAATATGGTTTCACATTTGGATATGAATCATGTTATTTTTTATTTTGCTTACAAACAACAAACTTCACTAATCATAATACAAGAACATTGTTTTTCCAACTTGCAGATTTTAAAGTGAAACAGACCAAAGTAATCGTCTAACAGGCTGATCCAACCCAAGGATCAAATCAAGTCATGTTATACTTTACACATTCATGTAAACAACAGTGATTTAACGTAGTGGCCAGTACAAAGTGTGAAGCCACATATTTGTGTGAAAATGTCATTTTTTTTTATTCTTGGTGTTTTTAAACAGAGACAGAGGACCAGAGTGGTGAACACCACAGGGATGAAAAAGATAAATTATACAAACAACATAAATGAAAATTACAGAAAATTACGAAGCAGCAAACTGTTTCAGTTCAACAAAATTCTCCTTTTTCCTGGACGGGGAAATCCGAGCAGAGCTGGATTTCCATAGATTTTATCTTTGTTCTTCCAGATGCTGAGGTGCAATAAAATGGGTGACACCGCTTTTATAGCTGGTTAGAGTTTAATACCTATACTTTATTTTTCATTGTTTGATTTTATCTCCTTCCAAATGACCATTTGAAAAATGAACAAAATCTGGGAAAAACTAATCATAAAAATACAATTTACCAGATAAAAACACTAGTAATGTCACGGTCTGGGTACTGCTCTGTCTGTTTTTTCCTGAGTTTCTTCCCTGCAGGTGGGTGTGGCTGAGACTCGCCAGCTGTCTGGCATCTTCATAACGGCAACAGAGTAATTAAGGAGCAGCGTGACTCTTCTCCACGTTGGTTGATTACAGTTTGGGTAGATCTGAGCACCAGGCCTGCACTTCTGTCAAACAATCCGCCTGTTTGAGTGTTAACCCATTTGCCGTCTGCTCTGGTCTCCGTCTGCTTCATCTACTCCTGTGACAATAACTCTGGATCTTCACACCGCATCTCACTGCCCTCCTCTGGTCGCCCGCTCTCAGTCCCCCACCTGCCGCTACCTCCAGGAACATCCACTCACCCAGACCTGACTCACCTTCCCCCCTGCTTCCCTTCATCCTGAAGAACGTAAGCCTCAGAGACCGTTCATATCCTCCTGCCATCTGCCCTCACAAACTTCTCAGCATACTCTCTCTCTTCTCTTCTCTTCTCTTCTCTTCTCTTCTCTAGATCCCGTCCCGCCGAGCACCCGTCCTCCGAATCAGCCGTTATTCCTGCTTCTTTGCAGCGCCCTGAGTTCATGTTTATTCTCTCTATTTTAATAAATCTTATTTATCTTACCTTCCGTTGTTTTTGGTGATTCTGTATGTCATGGGTCAATCACCTGGTACCCAACATGACAAGTAATTTACAAAAGGAGAAAAAATGCTAAGTATTCATACATTTCTTTATAGTTTTCCCACTTTAGTTCCCTCATCTGAGATTTGCTCATCTTTGTTTTAGTGTCTCACAGAGTTGTGGACTTGAGTCACATGACTTGGACTCGAGTCAGACTTGAGTCATTATTCTAATGACTTCTGACATGACTTGAGAAAATTTTAAGACTTACAATTTGACTCGGACTTGAACGCCAATGACTTGCGACTTGAATCAACTTGCATCTTTTGACTTGATGACTTGAGGATATTTAATATTTTAGCACAAAAGTGGCACAACATGGAAACCATCAATCATTCTTGGTTCTGGGTGTGATTTTCTGCTAAATGCAGCAGCACTTGGTTTATAATCTGTTTTAGTTGGACTTTCTGTTTCAGCAAATAAATGAAGCTTTAAGAAGCTTTATTTCTGGAATTTATTGTCATTTAATTGAAGTTGGTCAGATGACTTGATTTTGACTTAAATTCAAAGTTAAGGACTTGACTTGGACTTCCACATTATTGACTTTGGACTCGACTTGGACTTGGTTGTCTTTGACTTGGACTTGACTCGAGGCTTGCCTGGAAAGACTTGTGACTTACGACTTAAAGCAGTCACTTGGTCACACCTCCGGTGTCTCATCAGTTTAGCGTGATCCACCTATTTTTGTTTTGCTTTTTGACTCATTACCTTCCATTATACCAACGTCAGCTAAAGTCCCACCGTTCTATTAGACGCTTTTTCAAATACTAACTCTTATCATGAAAAAAACAGAACATTAAAAAGCTCTTTTTGCTTTTTGACAGCTGAATGCATCCTTTCTCAAAGGAAGTGGTTTTACTGCAGACAAACAGAAATTAATGCATCTTTATCCTGAACCACTGAGTGATGATAAATAGAAAGTTCACCTGAGAATTTTTACCAAACAAAATTAGCAGTCCATCTAGTGGTCAAAAACAATAGTTGTGCTTGGAACTGGTTTTAGACATCAAGGTTAAACTCTTCAAAGTAATTAATTTTCCTTTTCTCGTTGTTCCAGCTCTTCTTCTGCTGTATGACGTCACCAACAAATCATCCTTCGACAACATCCAGGTTGGTCACTTGTTTTTGCTCTCTGAAGCTCTGATTTGTCTGAATCTTTTGGGATTTTATCGAGCTCTTCCCACTCATTTGTTACTTTGACAGACATTGTTTTTCTATCAGCATGGGCCCAAAACTCCCCCATTACCTAGTGAGTCTTTTCTGTTCACAAAATCTGCTGACATGAAACAGTCTGACAGATTGACGTTCAGTTAATAATGGGGGACCTTCATTGTTAAACTCAGGAAAATTAATGAAAAATAAAAGACAAGCCTGAAAACAAAAGCCATGAAAGATAACGGCACACGCCTTTAGTACAAACACTGTTCTCTTGTTGGACTGAAAGAATTAGGAGGAATTGGACTTTACTGATCACCGTCCACCGGGCTGTAGAGCCCAGTAAAGGAGAAAAACCACGTCTAACTGAGACGTAACATTTACACTCATAGTTCAAACCCCAAAGACGGTACATTTCTGAAGAAAAATCTGACTTTTCTTTTAAATCGTTTACATCATTCTTTATCGCTCATTTTTTAGAGTAAAAATGTTGTTAGTAAATTGGTTGAGTTGTGCTTAATGAGCCCTTAGGAAGATTGGCTTCTGCACTTGTCCACAAAGCTTCTGAGAAGCCGACTTAAATTCTGGTATTAGCATGCAGGAGAATGATCATTACCAAACACCAGCATTTCTGTCTTCACTGTCCATCATTGTGGCCACAAACAAAAGTGGTCATATGCAAATTCAGCCAAAAAGCTCCAAGGAGAGTATTTGCTGCACTGAAACAAAGTGAATTCATTAGTGTCTAATCACCTTGATAGCAGAAAAGAAATGTCACATTTTCATCCTGGAGTTTAAGCTGATAAACTTAATTTTATAATTCCTGAAAGAGTAGATCACAGCCTGTTGGGATCCATCGTGTTTTGTCTTCCTCCATTGTGCTCGATCCCGGTGCTCCTCAAAGATGTGTACTGAGCCCCCTCTAAACTAGGGTTGAACGATCTATTGTTTTTGGACCGAAATTGCGATTTCAAACAGTACGATCACATGACCGTCAAAGCTGCGGTTTTAGCGGTTTTGACTGATCCAGGATCAGTTGTGTAACTATTTTTCACATTTGGGGTTTTCCCCCTGTGTTATGGCGGCGGCAAAAGCCAGCGCGAGGGAGGGGGGTGGGCTGTACCATCCAGAGCCGAGCCCAGCTCCACTGCTGACAGAGCTGCATGTTCAGGTTATTTTCCCTGTTTTATGTTTCCACACACAGCACTGCTAGAGCCGATAATAATGGCACCGTAGGTGAGCTTGGGACAGAGAGAGAGAACGTAGTTGAGTTAAGCCTGATTTATGCTTCTCCGTCTGTGTCAGTGCGGAGACACGCAACGCCATTATCCGTCCTTGCGTAGGGCTCCGGCAGGCACGCAAGTACGTACGGAGTCGAGCCCACTTTTTTAAACATCCGTCAAACGAGACGGATTACGCAAGCTCGTGATTGGTCAGGACGCCGCTGTTGTTTACAGCGCCGCCACTGCAAAGAGAGCCGAAGATAACTAGCAGCAGACACGGAGAAGCTTGAAGAATACCTCGCGAAAAAACTCTAAAAACATGAACGTTTAATTCCCCTTTGACTGGAGGAGTGAAAAGATGCGCAGCAAGTGTTTTATTTGTGGACGGAAATGACAGGAAACGTGGGTTTAGAGGTGGGGAGCGCATGAAGCGGTGGGAGAATGAGAGACAAATATGTCCGTGTTAAAAGTCTCTTATACACACAAAAAACACAATATAAACACACTGTCTTGGACCGATACATGACAGGATACCACAGAACAGCGCTACGCCCTCTGGTGTCCTGCCGGGGAATTGCTTTGCAACACTCCCCAGGAGACGGAGAAGTATGAGAGCAAAACGCTTCCGTCAATCCGTGCGTGTCTGTCTCTTGTGGAGCTGATGGAGAAGCATAAACCAGGCTTAAGGGAGCGAGAGAGACTCCTCTCACATCAGAGCAGGTTCAGGCTGATTTCTAAAGCTTGGTTTATGCATCATCAGCACGAGTGCGGAGTCGCACACTTTAGTTGACTTGAAAGCTCAACTTCTCTTATAAAAAATGGTTTGAATGTTTCTGATGGCACATGTTAAATCAAACAAGCTAAGGTGTCAGAATGCGTGCGTCTCTCTCACGGAACTGACATTTTAGTGAGGAAAAACTATCAGACTGCTTCGAAAAACGTGCAGCCACTCTGCCTTGATGATGCAGGGAAAACTGTGCATTTTTTTATTTAAAACATTTAAAAGCTATTTCTACCTACAGATTTTCTCCATGCATTTTTGGAGTAGAACATGTTTTTATAAAGCTCCTCTCTAGATAAAAAGCACAAGTTGCTTCACAAACACATAAAAAAAAGATAATAATGGGAGAAAATATTAATAGCTTTAACAGTTTTTATTGTATGATTAAACGGTAAATATTAATGTGAATGATTTGTTGTACTAGATTAGAATCTAGACCATCTATTCACTTAATCAACAGGATGGCTTGGCAGGCTAATGTTGGACCTTTGTTTGCAGAAAATCATGAATTGAACCAAAATCGCAATTTCTGCTAGAAACATTGCAATTGAATCTTTTCCTCAAATCGTACAGCCCTACTGTAAACATTGCTCTCTAATGAGAGTTCTGTTTGGCAGTCACATACTGTGGCTGTTGATTTGATCTCCAACAATGAGTCTAAGTAGGAGAGAGGAAGGAGAACTTGCTGATTGATGCACAGCAAACGGCCTAATAATCAATGTTAATAGCATCACAGAACTGCTGCATGAGCCACATCATTTCCTTGAATCTAAAAAATGTGAAAATAGCTTTATTTTAATGAAAGAGGAAAAAATAAAGTATTCTTGTTCTCAACGGCACAGGCTAAACAGAACAATCTTTTCACAATCCAGCACCTCTAAATGTCCGATAATCACCGGTTAAGGCCGGACCGTTTTCCTGTGTTGCTGCCCTTCGTGGCTCTGTAATTGCTGCCATAGGGGTTAAAGTTGTTCCAGTCTTTGCTGTTTTCCTCTGAGTGAACTATACAGCTCAAAGAGAAGCAATTTTCAGCTGCTTTATTTGACATTGTACACAACTGCTTTTTTAGTGCACCACAGGGCTCTAATTGAGGTGGAGGCTTTTTGGTACCAGCCTGTGTGGGAAATACGATGCATGAGCCTTGAGTGATCACTGGAGCAGGAAAGGTGCTTCTCAAGTATAGATGTGAGCAAAAATCCAAACAGAAGAGAGACAACAACCAAAGCACAGAAAAGAACACAAATATGTTGGGCAGCACCACAGGGGAGGATGAGTAACAAACTGTCAACCATCTGACACACAGTTTTCTGCTCTTTCTGTGGTAGCCGAGTAGCTGGGGTGGTATTTCTCTTCAAGCTCCATGCAGTACTGGGGGCTTTATTGTTTCTGTGTGAAAAGTCTATCTGAATCAGTGCATATAATAAGGCTTATTCTGACATCCCAGGATATCCTTCAGCCCTGAAACATCTTCAAAGACTCAACAAACCTCCACAGGAAAACCCCCAGACAGCACATCAACCAGACGCCCAATCCAGCTTAAATGACTGAATGTTACCAGTGGTGGATCTAGACAGAAAATGTTTAACAGCAAACGTGTGGCATGAGATTCCAGATGGGGGGATTTATTACCACACAAAAACTCTACTGTCAAAGTCTGAGGTAGAAGTTTCACTGATGAGTAAGGTCTTAATTATCTTTGTATCTTTATATTTACTTATTTTAACTAGAGATGTTCGATATTATCAGTCTAAAGGTACTATCTGCTGATATTGGCGTTAAAATGTAACGTCAGTAAAAATCTCTATCGGATTTTGCTCCTTTAATGACCCAACCTTTACACAACATGGCATACACATATTATATATATCAAACTCTTCTGCTCTCAAAATATCAAAATATGACAGTGCTTAGTTTTTGAGATATTTTAGTTTTATTTGGCACAACGTGTGAACATTTAGGAATTTGCCGTGTGTAGAGAGAATCTGCTGCTCCTAGAGCACATATTGCTAGCCAGAAAACCACTAAAACAAACACAAGACACTCCACCCAAGGTGCTTCCCTAACTGAAGTTCTTTTAACACCATAACTACAATATGTAGAAATAGAAAAAATGCATTAGTGACTAACATAAACATCCTAGCGTTGGTCTTAGCAATTAGTCTAGCTTAGCATGTGTTTATGCTTACATTTAATCAACTAAGTAACTTTAACACACGTCCAAACGTTCCCTAAACACGTTAATATTTACAAAAAAATGTTCTCCAAGGTACGAAGGTAAAAAGCAAAATTACTGTGTTCATGATCCGTTTCTTCTCTCCTACTTCCATGTAAACACCAGGAACAGGGAAAACTACTTCAGTGATAGGTCTGAGTAGAGAGCGCTCACCTTGTCTCTTGTTGCACATTTCACAGACATTTAACCTCTAACCTCTTGCTATTTAACCTTCCACTCACCCCCATCCAAATACATTTGGTCGCCCAGCGTCACTTTTTGACGCTTCAGGTGTGAGAATGTGTTGCTTCACAGAGTGTTTATTTATAGGTTTTATTTTATCACATGGTCAGATACTGATACTGTTTTATTCTAGTGCAGAAGAAGAAAAGTTGTTGTCTTTTGAGTCATATATTTATTTATTTTTATTCACTTGTTTGGAAGCATTTGATTTAAAATGCAAATTTTAATAATCAAGAAGATTTTATTAAAAAAAAGTTTTAATCATATCTTTCCAAAAGGGATGTTTTAAAAAGTTTTAAATATTTTATATAAACATGTCACACACATTATGTAAACTATAAATTAATTATCACGAATTAGAAGTTTTCCTTTTATCTTGTGTAAAACAAAAACTAATTCTAATGTTTTTAAGCCATCAGATAGTAATTTAAATATAATTTTGGGGGGATAAAATGTTTTAATATAGTTAAAACTGCAGCTCCCTCAATACTTAAAG